TCTGTTACAGATTTCCTGTTCCAGATCAGGTCCTTTATCTCTAAATGTGATGTTCACGTGGGGTACACGTATTACACCTACTTATATTTGAGTATCTATCACTGGAACCTAACCTCTATGCTCATAAGTATAGAACTTGTTTCTATAATCGCAATAGAACGTATGTTGGCAGTGTGGTTCCCGTTTCACGTCTCGAGAATTTTATCACCATATCGTATGAAGTGGATAGTTGTGTGCGTTTTTATTGTTCTGCCACTTCTTATTTTACCGTTTGCCGCTAATGTGCAGTACGGGGAAACAACCATTGGCGAAACAAACAGAACGGTTGGAATAATTTTATATACAGAGTACTATTTAAACAACGCAGACTCTTTTAACATCTATCGAAATTACTTTCTACTTTTTGTAACTGCTATATTACCCATTACAGCAATAACTATTTGCTCTTTGCTCATCATTATAAAACTAGTAATTACAGCTAAAGTATTTTCAAAAGCAGATGGATCTATTTCGACGAAAAGGGTGAAAGATTTGAAATCTGTGAAAAAGACTTTACTGATCTGTTTCAGCTTAATGGTGCTGGTCATTGTACCGGTCAATACCCTGGATATCTACTACAAAATGGAACAGAGGTTCCCGTTCGGAGAGAGAGCGTACGATCTGATGATGTCTTTTGTGAGAATTATTATACAGATCAACGCCTCTAGTAACTTCGTTATCTACGTCAAAGGAAACTCGAAATTTCTAAAAACATACCGAAAACTTTTTGGTTCATGTATTTATGGAAAAATGAAATTCTAGGATGCACTCTTAAACGTATGCAGTTGGCCTATTACAATAAATGAGCTGGCCCATCCCAAAGATTCGCCCAATCATGTCTCACAGACTGTTCAGCTGTTTCAATTTTTTTATTTATTTCTGCGCATCAATAAATTTTAATAACATTTTTTTAGAGGAAGAGAATGAAGAGTCACGAGTATACATATCGATAGCAGTGGTTAAATGGGCAGGATACAATTCCTAGCTGATAACAAAATTACTTAAAAAATAAATATGATCTTTGAGATTTATAGACCACTTTGATTTATTTTATTCAACACATCGAGGACAAATGCATTATGTCCAAAAAAACATAATGAGTTCATAAATCTCATTTCAATACCAAAATAGTGCAAAATATTATGTTTAAACATTCATAAAATATTTGCATTCTACTTTTCTGACATTGTACATGAGTGTTCTTGTAGCTTGTATTATTTACAATATAAGTAAAAATTAAATGTACATCAATTTCACAAAAAAATTGGACACACTGCATTTGTTCTCTATACCCTCAACATTATGTTTCAAATGATGTGCAAGACTGAAAAACGTATACATTTATATACTTAGCATAAAAATTAAATTGAATTTTGTTACTACCAAATGAGAACATTTAAAAAAGAAAATAATTAAGAGAAATAACAAAAAAACTTCAAGGAGTTGTCCCCGTCTACATAAATATTTTTTTCCATGAAATTCACCTGATTACCGAACATTACAATTACTTATTATCTTAGTTATATTTCAACTCCAGCATATAAGCTATTATTTTTAGAAAAATAATATTTAAAGTATGCGTTTAATACTTGACGCTTTAAAAATTGAAATGATTTAAAGAAAGGGGGTTGAACAATTCTGCCGAGACACCAGGGAAATTCCCGGTGGGTCGCCGGGATCAGTGCTATGATGGGCATTTTAAGGCTTTAAAGAAAATAAAATCTTTGTTTAATTAAACCTTCTTATGTGTCGTTTCGTTTTTGTTATAAAGTGACAAGTGACTTTGTAGGCATCTCTCTTTAGGCCAGGATAAAAAAAAATATGCAGGAGGAAAATTTAAGTTGTGAAGGTATCGCTCTTAAATTTTCCAGTTACTTAAAAACAGGGAGCCTCCCCACTCCCAATATTAAAGAAATAATCATAATAGCATCATTTTGTTTATTTCAAGAATGTTCTTTGCCTTAATGTTTATAAAAATTAAATGCTATCACCTAAAATCTTTCTGTTAAACATGTTTTTTTTTTACAATTCGTCACACAAACTTCAGAATAGTTTGTTTTATTCATTCATTTATCTATACTCGTTCATAAATAAAATATATATAGATCTAATTTTAGCTATAAGCCAGTTCACAAGACACGCAACACAACAGAACGGGCAGTCCCGCTGTAACTTAAACATTTTTCAAAAAAATTCCAATGAATTCCAGACACTTTAATGCGCAGTGAATCACACAGTGTAAGCATAGCAAGCCTATAAATACCGAGATTTGTACTGAAAAAGAAATATTATATAGATTAGAAAACGTCTTCAGTTATGTGGCCCTGTGGCGCAAAAGTAGCGCGTCTGACTCCAGATCAGAAGGTTATGTGTTCAAATCGCATCAGGGACCTGCTATTTTTTTTATTTGTTAAGATTAATTTTTGTTAAGCACTGAACCCGAGGAACGTTGTCTTTGTGGTTCAAAAATAAAATAATAAAAAATCAGACACAGATTCCTATAATTTTAAGGCCAAATTTAAGAAAGAGGACATTCAAAATTTGTTTTATCTCGTTTTAAAATTTTTCGTATGACTTTTCCTGTAATTACTTATGTTATTTATGTTGGGGACTCAATCATATGTGTTTATACCATGATCTTAATAATGTCGCTATTTAGACTTACATTATGGTTTTGTAAACATATTTGATCTAATAAGACATGGACATGAACACTGTGTCATCCCATTGTCTTAACACGGGAATTTGTTGGGGACTCAATCATATGTGTTTATACCATGATCTTAATAATGTCGCTATTTAGACTTACATTATGGTTTTGTAAACACATTTGATCTAATAAGACGTGGACATGAACACTGTGTCATCCCATTGTCTTAACACGGGAATTTGTCGGAGCTACCTTTAAAAAAAATGTAAGTTTATTTACCAAATGAACGCAAATAATGTGTGAATAGTACAGCACAAAATGTGCACTTGATAATGGAGACATTGATTACAATTTTTTTTTCAAGAAAAGTTAATTAAATATCTTATGAAGTCACATTACATTGTTATCGAGTCTTGGTCAAGGTTGGAAACATGATAGAACAGATGTCATGGAACTACTAGTAGAATAAGGCTTCAGAATTGCTAGTTAATATTATATTATAATCTCTTGTTTTTGAGAAAAAAAAAACCAATAGGTTATGCTATTTATGCTTCTTTCAGATATTGATTTTTTTTTCCAGAAAACGGAAATATTGTAAAATAACATCTCTGGTTAATAGAAAACTTTTTCTATTAGATAATTATGTATAAAATTTTGTTCACCTAACTGAATCGGTACTTTAGTTATCGTCGTTTGAAAATCCAGAAATAAAGTAAAACCCACTTCAATTTTCCAAAACAATTACTCATATGTGTTTTTGAATCCCAAGTTTAGAGATAAATATTTATGGTTGAAATTTCGTCCACGTTCCTTAAACAGTTCCAGTTATCAGTTTTTCAATAACCGAAAATAGAGTAAGCACTAATATTGTTAGCGGAAATCGCTCACTAGAATAAGCACTAAAAATGTTACTTGTTAGAGGAAATCACTCACAATTAGAAAGAAACCTACGTTTAGGATTAGAAGGTAATTATAAAAAACTTTTTTTTCGATGTAAGTGAAATTGGTTTTTTAGTTATTGTGTTAACACAAGCAAACACACACACACACACAGACAATATTTCAAAATTGTTTTTTTTTAACTCAGGACGATGTAAAATGTTGAGATTTTTTAAAATCTTGATTTCAATATTTTGCACGAATACCCCTCCCCCTTATTTTCAGAATGCAAAAAAGTAAAACTGATCTCATTCGCATTTTTAGTGCACAACAAATTAAACTAAATTATCTCTATTGCATTAATAAAACATGCATATAACATTTAAAAAAACAAAACAGCATACAAATATTTCTTCATCCACAAAATGAAGCACATTTTTAAAACTCTTGAGAAACAGATCGAATGACTGTAATTTTATTTTATAATTCTTCTTCCGTAAAATGATACCTATTTGCTTTTATTATGTGTAGTTAATATACTGTTTACTCATTTTACCCGTAACATATGGTACAGTTTTAGTTTTATATTTTGAAATTGTTTCGCTATCAAAAAAATTACAATAATTATGTTGCATGAAGTATTTTTGAAAATTGCAACAAAAAATATTTTAATAATTTTATATTGCAAGTTATTGAAAGTTGTTGGCGTTTGGAAATTAATTATATTTTTAAATTTTAAATACATAATACTAACAAAACGAGCAACACTAATGCTAACGTATTAATAAAATGAGCTTTTTCATTTAGTGTTTTCTTTATCTGAATTTAAATTTAAATCTTATCATGTCTTCAAGAAAACAAAACCTATAAGATTCTGAAATAGAGATAAATACCCAACTTTCAGACATACCTGAGGATGTGCACTACATTTTCTATGTTATAATCAGTGACTGTATTATTGGGTATGTTTATTATATTGTGTTTTACATGAAGCTGCATGAATGTAGAGTACCTGGCTAACGGAAGGACTGTCTGAGCGACTAGTCATGTATTTTTCCATGCTTTTGTGAGATCGCTCATTGACGTAAGGGGAGAGAAAGTTGTGTATAAAATGTTGAGCGCAAGGTGAACTAGGTGTGCATGCTTGTGATTGTGTAGTAATTTGTAAGATGTCATATATACTAGTTCATAAATAAAATATATATAGGTCTAATTTTAGCTATAAGCCAGTTCACAAGACACGCAACACAACAGAACGGACAGTCCCGCTGTAACTTGAACATTTTCCAAGAAATTCCAATGAATTCCAGGCAGTATAATGAGCAGTGAATCACACAGTGCCAGCATAGCAAGCCTATAAATACCGAGATTTGTACTGAGAATTTTATGAGAAAGTAGTGTTATATATATTTAAAATAAAATGCAATTACGTGGCTCTGTGGCGCAATGGTAGCGCGTCTGACTCCAGATCAGAAGGTTATGTGTTCAAATCACGTCAGGGTCAAGTTAATTTTTGTTTGTCAATATTAATTTTTAGCCTGAGGAATGTTGTCTTTGTGGTTCAAAAATAAAATAGTAAAAAATCAGACACAATTTCTGGATTCGGAAATATAACTGAGATTTCTATAATTTTCATGCCAAATTTAAGAAAGAGAACATTCAAAATTTGTTTTATCTCGTTTATAATTTTTCCTATCACTTTTATTGTGTTTACAGATGTTATTAATGTTGGGGACTCAATCATATGTGCTTATCCCATGGTTTTAACAAGGTCAATAGATATAATTACATTATAGTTTTGTAATTATATTTGATCAACCAAGACTTGGACATGAATACTGTGTCATCCCCTTGTCTTAACAAGGCAATTCGTAGGAGATACTTATAAAAAAAAAGTTTATTTACCAAAATGAACGCAAATAATGTGTGAATAGTACAACACAAAATGTGCACATGATAATGGAAACATTGATTATATTTTTCCAAGAAAAGTTAATTAAATATCATACGAAGTCACATTACATTGTCATCGAGTCTTGGTCCAGGTTGGAAACATGATAGAACAGTTGTCATGGAACTACTAGTATAATAAGGCTTCAGAATAGCTAGTTAATATTATGATATTATAATCTTTTGTTTTTGAGAAAAAAAAACAGGTTAATGCTATTTATGCTTCTTTCAGATATTGATTTTTTTTCAGAAACCGGAAATATTGTAAAATAACATCTCTGGTTAATGGAAAACAATCCACAACGTATACTAGCCTACGTTACCGATTGGATAATTATGTATACAATTTTCTTCACCTAACTGAATCGGTACTTTATCGTCTTTTGAAAATCCAGAAATAAAGTAAAAGCCACTTCAATTTTCCAAAACAATCACTCATATGTGTTTTTGAATCCAAAGTTTAGAATAAAATATTTATGATTGAAATTTCGTCCACCTTCCTTAAACAGTTCCAGTTACCAGTTTTGGAATAACCGAAAATAAAGTAAGTACTAATATTGTTAGCGAAAATCGCTCACTAGAGTAAGTAGGCCTACTAATATTATTAGCGGAAATCGCTCACAATAGAGAAAGAAACCTACGTTTAGGATAAGGTGGTAATTCTAAAAAACTGAAATTTTGTCCAAGTAAGTAAAATGGTTTTTGAGTTATCGTTTTAACACACACAAACAAAAAAACACAATCATACAGACAAGATTTTAAAATAAGGTTTTTTTTTCAACTATAGACGATGTAAAATGTTGAGAGTTAAAAAAAAATCTTGTTTTTATTATTTTTGCACGAATACCCCCCCCCCCCTATCTTCAGTATACAAGAAAGTAAAACTGATCTCATTCGCCTTTTTTATTGCACAGCAAATTATGTTAAATGATCTCTATTGCATTAATAAAACATGCATATACATTTTAAAAAACAAAACAACATACAAATATTTATTCATCTACAAAATGAAGTATATTTTTAAAACTGTGTGGAATCAGATCGAATGACTATAATTTTATTTTATTCTACCTCTAATATACAAAGACAGCGTTTCTTTTATTATATGTGCAGCTACTATGTAAGTGTTCTTAAAAAAGCTATTTCGGGAAACCAAAAATAAATAAAATAAATAAAACACATTAGTAGGTTATGTGAAAGCTTATTTTTACTTTCTCGTATATAGGCCTACGTAGTATAGAGAAAGTATTGTAATCGTGCAAAAAAAAAATCGAGATTTTTACAAATCTCGACGTTTTACACCTCACTGATACGGAAAAACATAATTTTGCAATCTTGTCCGTATGTCTGTGTGTGTGTGTCTGTCTGTGTGTGTGTCTGTCCGTGTGTAAACACGATAACTTGAGTACCGTTACAGCTAGGTTGATGAAATTTCATATATAAGTATTTTATCAAAATCGTAGATCCGTATCAACTTTTGAGCGATTTCCGATAACCGGAAGTGGTACTTTTCCTACTTTGAATTTTTCAAAAGCCTATAACTTGAGTACTATTTCAGATAGATAAATGAAATTTCACATGTAAGTAAAAAATCTAATTCTCTACCTTCTGTTAAATTTTGAGTAATTTCCGTTGACTGGAAGTAGTAATTTACGCTACTTCCGATTTCTCAAAAAACTAATGTAAATTTTTAAAGTACTAATAATATTGCGCACTATTATACGCGTTTTTATTCGGCGTTTGCTTGGTGCGCAATGTTTTTTTTATGAGATTCTATTCTATTTTTAAAAGTTTAAGTATTTAAAATGGATTAAAAATCATAACTATATCCCCAGTTACCATCCCCTGTTGTTTTATATAAGAATATTCGAGAAAGTTTAGGGGAGATCACTACCGGTTTATTAAATTAGACAACAAGAGATTAAAATTACTGTGTATTATTTATTTAAAAAAAAAATAAAACAAACTAAACCATTAAACATTTCTTTATCAGATTAGGCGCTGTTATTTATTATTAGCAACGCACAGATAAATTGTTGTAGACATTTTTCTTTAAAAAAATTATTAATGTTACGGAAACGAATCTGGTTCTCACTTTTGCCAGAAGCATTTGTTCCACTAACCTGACAATATTTTAAGGAAGCGACGTTCTTAGTATGGAAGAGCTAGACTAAACTGAATATAAGCTACTCGAACAGGAACAGAGTTCCAACACCAAGATACAACGGTTGTCAATAGCTATTACAAAGTAATTCCAAATTATTGATCAAGGATAATTACAAAAACTACTAGTTTACTATTCGCCCATTAAATTACTATTAATTATACTAGAAATTTCTTAGACATTAGGATTTAATTATGTGTTTTATAAATAACTATCAGTTTGCTTAGATGTATATTAGCTTTATTTAATTACGATTATATTCGGGAGTTCGTATAGGTCTTGTTAATGATAGGTTGCTCGCTTCGCTTAATTACACACTGATGATGGTGGAGTTTAAATAAGTAAAAAAAAAAAAAGATAGCGGCTATAAAAATTCTAACAAGTGACTTTTCGAATAAAGCTACTGCGTTTATTTTATTCACTTCTCGAACGTTCATTTTAAGTTTTAAACATTTTAATTCTACTGCTACTGTTTACTTTTTCTACCCGTAACAAATTGTTGTGTTAGTTTTATATTTTGAAATTGTTTCGCTATCGAAAAATTAAAACAATTATGTTTGCAATTTCCAAAAAAGCTTTTTACAAGTTTTATATTGCAAGTTATTGAACAATTGTTTGCGTTTGGAAATTAATTATTTTAAAATTTTAAATACATAATACTAAAAAAAACGAACAACACTAATGCTTACATATTATTAAAATGAACTTTTCCATTCAGTGTTTTCTTTATATGAATTTAAAGTTAAATTTTATCATGTCTTTAATAAAACAAAACCTATCAGAGTCTGAACTAGAGATTAATAACCAACTTCCAGACATAACTGAGGATGTGCACTACATTTTTGATGTTATAATCAACGGTTTCCTGTACCAGTTCATAAGTCTGTTTGGAATTCTGGGAAACTCTATAACGATTGTTATCTTATCGTATAACGGGTTCAATAACCCAACGGACATTGTTCTGACAGGATTAGCGACATCTGATTTATTCTACTCTGTTACCAAATCTCTGTTCCAGCTAAATTCATTTATCTCTAAATGTGATGTTTACTTAGGGTATACGTATTTTGCTTACTTATTCTTGAGTATCTATCACTGGAACCAAACCTCTATGCTCATAAGTATAGAACTTGTTTCTATCATCGCCATAGAACGTATGTTAGCAGTGTGGTTCCCGTTTCACGTCTCGAGAATTTTATCACCATATCGTATGAAGTGTATAGTTGTGTGCGTGTTTATTGTTATGCCACTTCTTATTTTACCTTTTGCCGCTAACGTACAATACGGGGAAACAAACATAGGAGACGCAAACAGAACCGTTGAAATAGTTGTATATACAGAGTACTATTTAAACAACGTAGACTCTTTTAACATATACCGAAATTACTTTCTACTTTTTGTAACTGCGATATTCCCAATTACAGCAATAACTATTTGCTCGTTGTTAATCATTTTAAAGTTAATAATATCAGCTAAGCGGTTTACGAAAATAGATGGCTCTGTTTCCTCAAAACGAATAAAAGATTTACGGTCTGTGAAAGCGACTTTGCTGATCTGTTTCAGCTTGATGGTGCTGGTCATTGTTCCGGTCAACACCCTGGATATCTACTACGAGATGGGACAGCCGTTCCCGTTTGGAGAGAGAGCGTACGATCTGATGATGTCTTTTGTGAGAATTATTATACAGATCAACGCCTCTAGTAACTTTATTATCTATGTCTCAGGGAACTCGAAATTTATACAGACGTATTACAAAATATTTAGTTATTGTAATGCTGGTAAAAACAAACTGTAAATTGTATTACTTCACAGTTATGTGCTGTATATTATTGTGTGTGCTGGCCCATCTAACACGTCGATCCCGTGTCATTAAACATGAGTGACTTTCACTACTCAACTATAAAAAAAAAATCGTGCATCTGTTCCTAAATATTAGGAAAAGTATGCAATAGCTAATAGTGACCCATGATTTCTTTATAGTAATTTAAATAATAGTGTATTATAATCATTTATTTTCTCCTTTTTACTGCATTATTACACAAAAGCTTGTTATTAAATCGTTGTGTGCATTATATTTCGGTATCTCTGCAGGTTGGAATCGAAATGGAATAAATAAATCGAAGGTTTACTTCCCCCACCCGATACGAAATATAATTTATTTTGAAAATATATACTTTTACCAGTGTCCGCCCCTCTCCATGAAATTTCAGCCCCCCTCCCCCAATTTTAAGTGCCCCTCCAACACCCGGAAAAAAGTCTGGTAGAAACACTGAATGAGGGAAATGTAGAAAAAATAAACCGGGAGTGATCTCCCCTAAACTTTCTCGAATATTCTTAATTAAAACAACAGGGGATGGGAACTCCGGCTATAGACATGATTTTTAATCCATTTTAAATACTTAAAGTTTTAAAAATAGAATAAAATCTCGTAGACAAAAGAATTGCACACCAAGTGAACGCCAAATAAAAAAGTGCATAATAGTGCGCAATATTATTAGTACTTTATACATTTTTTGAGAAATCGGAAAGAGCGTAAATTAGTACTTCCGGTCAACGGAAGTTACTCAAAATTTAACAGAAGGTAGAGAATTAGATCTTTTACTTACACGTAAAATGTCATTTATCTATCTGAAATAGTACTCAAATTATAGGCTTTTGAAAAATTCAAAGTAGAAAAAGTACCACTTTCGGTTATCGGAAATCGCTCAAAAGTTGATACGGATCTACGATTTTGATAAAATACTCATATATGAAATTTCATCAACCTAGCTGTAACGGTACTCTAGTTATCGTGTTTACACACAGACAGACAGACAGACAGACAGACAGACAGACAGACAGACAGACAGACAGACAGACAGACAGACAGACAGATACACAGGCACACAGACATACGGACAAGATTGCAAAATTATGTTTTTCCGTATCAGTGAGGTGTAAAAATCTTGTTTTTTTCTTTGCACGATTATAAGACTTTCTCTATACTTCGTATATACGAGAAAGTAAAAAAGATGGAGAGAGAAAGAAAAATATATACTTGATTTTTATAGTTTCAGAGGAACGATAAATTACAGAGACATTCAAAAGTATATTTATTTATAGTGTAGGCGTTGATGTTTTAAGTTGGCTGTTTGTTTTATTTGGGTGTTCATATTATATATTGTGTCTAGGCTTAACAGCTGACTATGTTTATTCCGTAGTGCGTTCTTCATTTAATAATGGTGTTTTAAAGCAAAGTAAAAGTAAAGTTTCCTTTTCAAACCTGCCGGTCTATAAGGTAAGTGAAATAGAGTTCACTTTACTTTCCCTAACGCGAGGTAGGTACCCATCAGACTCATCAGAGCTGGGTGGTCTCAGGGACGGTGTACAGACTTGAACCCGGATTCGGACTCGAGACTTACTGGTTTGCAGTCCAGCTCTCTACCGCTATGCCACTCCCTCCCTTATTTTAAAATAAAATATTCTATTAATTTGTTTTAATCATTTTGTAAAAAGTAGAGTCATCAAGTGCTTTTGTTTAATATTAAAAGATATTTAATTGTTACTCTAAAAACCATTTAAGATTTAATGTTAACTCTTGATTATACTGTTACGGAAAAAAACATTTATTCTATATACCTCAATTTACAGTTTTGTTTATTTATTATTATGGTACATATACAGTTTTTCTTCTTATACATTGTCAATTATGTTATTGTTGTGATAGTAAAATAACATTTTCAATATAACACATTTTGTTGTTTTATTTTTTACGGAAAAATTAAATTCTTTGTTCTACACGTTTTGTTATTAATTTATTTATGATAATAAATTAAAACTGTGTTTATAACTAATGTTCGTAGTGGTAATAAAAACAGACAGTGTCAATATCTTCACACATTTAACATAATTATGCACGGTAATATTCTGACTAATACCTTGGTGTTATGATAGATTCCATCCATCATGGTGTCTCCACCTCTCCCCCTTCTTGCTACCCCACATGTAACGGTATATACCTGGACATGAGTCCAGCGGTATCGTAAGGCTGACCGGGCCTTGACCTCGGACTGCGGTCACGAGGACGGAGTGTTATAACTGGGATTAGCATAGGATAGAGAACTGGGATAAAATATCGTTTAATTCTTAATTGTATTTATGTCCATACTACTATATAGTTTAATAGTAGGTTAGATCATAATAGCTGTAATAGGAATAGTCATTAGTATGTTTGACTGTATGTCTACTCACTAAATACAAGTCTGAATAGCCTGTAGTTGTCGCAGTCGTGAAAAAGTTCGAGTTAATGCAAGCACAGGTTGAGCCACCCGCCCCTCGCGGGACTGCTGGTGTTGGGTTACCTTAGGGTGAAGTTGGGGCAGAGGAGTATCTAGGGGGGGGGCGGGGGGGGGGACATATGTCCCCTGTCGCCGACCTTAGGGGTGGCGTCAAAATGGGTTGGAATAACAAATTGAAAGTTTGAACGGGAGGGGCTTGCAAATCGAAAGTTTAAGGGGGGGGGGAGTGCAAATAAAAAGTTTGAGGGCGGGGACGCAAATCGAAAGTTTGTCCACGGGCGCCGGGAAGGGTCGCTACGCCTCTGAGTTGGGGCCGCGTGAATTATTTTAGTTGAAAGCTAGACTTTCATAACACGGAGCCTAAGTCATGTGACCTGTAGGGCAGGGACGCTACAGTCCAGCAGTCACTCTACCTTCTCCCCTCTTCGGAGGTACATGCATTTTTGGTGCTATGGCACTTCCGAGATAACATTTTAGACGATGTGTTACAGAGGGTGGAGGTGGTTAAACGACAGTAAAAACAACTATTGTTTTAAATGGTTCTGTCTTTTAGACCAGGGGTCTCCAAACTTTTCAGTTCGAGGGCCGCATTGACTATCAAATTTCAGTTCGGGGGCCAATTTCTTCCAGGCATGTCTTTGATTTTTCTGGGCAAAGTTCCTCAGCTATCACCAACAAACGTTTTTTTCCGTGGACAAAAAGATCTCCGCGGGCCGGATGAGAGGACCTCGCGGGCCGCATCCCGCCCGCGGGCCGTAATTTGGAGACCCCTGTTTTAGACGATGGGAAGGGGGTGGAGATCTGGGGTTGACCGACAGTAAAAACAACTATTGTTTTAAATTGTTCTGTCTTGTAGACGATGGGTTGGAAGAGGGATGGGGTTAAAAGTCAGTAAAAACAAGTCATTTATGTTAATTACACCGTGGTTTTCTAATTGCAATTTTAAACAGTTAACACAGACGTTTAAGTAAGGTAAATAAATATAGCATTTTGAAGCAGAACTTTTATACAATCCATGTGCTTAAAAAACATAGTAAAAGTTTGGTATAAAATAAGATTTTTATTTAACTTACCATCTCGTGTAAGCTCAAAAAGTGTATAGGTTCAAATTGATGTTTTGTTCTTAAAGCCAAAAAAAAAAAAATTAACAGTGTTTTTATTATTTATCGTTTAGAGCGTTGTGCGCCTGTAGCTCAAAACAATAAAAAAAAAAAACGCGAATAAAATCTTCGTTCAGTATTTTTTTTTAAATCTGGATCAATACAAAAGTAGGTCAGCCTGTCGTCAGGTGAGTCGTGCGGTACTCACGTCGCGCGTGCACGACACACGCGACGGTTTCCTCCGTCACAAAGAGCTGAGTCGCCTCGCTTGCTTTTCTTCCTCGTGCTGCGCGTGAGGCTGCGAGCGTTACGGGCGAGTGAGCACAGGTTTAGCTTGTTGTGTGCAAATCATTTCGACCTGTGCTCAAGTTTTTCATTTAGTGCTAACGAAGGTCTACAAATCTAAGAGTATTTTGTAGGGAAGGTACAAGTAGATCTAAGTTTAGATTAAGACAAACGGAGCTCTCTAATGTTTCTGATGTGGTGATATATCTCTTCCTGAGTCAATTATTAAGGTGAGTAAACATGTTATGTTTTGGATACCTTACACACAGTCTGAACAGCACCTGTAGTAAAAACTATGCTCACACACACATATCATATATATATATATATATATATATATATATATATATATATATATATATATATATATATATGTATATATGTATATATATATATATATATATATATATATATATATATATATATATATATATATATATACATATATGTATATACAGTGTGTTTGTGTATGAGTGTGTTTATTCGACGGCTTCAATTAAAATTAGATCACAAATATGAATAATAATAACATTAAATTAACACTTAATAAAATGTTAGCCAATCAGTTTTATGTTGGTAGAATTATTGCTATACTAGAAAATTGAGTTTGTATGGTGCATAGTGAAAGACGTGCGATTCATATTATATTAAACGAAACCAATCGCAGTGATTGTAGAATATCTTTTAACAACTTTATTTATAATTTCCATTTGACGTTGTTTTAATTATAATTATAGTTTAGTACATTGGAAAATGTTACAGTTACAATGAAATCACACGTATACTATCAGAAAAACGTAGAATGTAAAGTTCCCTTTACGAACCTGACGGTTCAACACGCAAGTGAAGTAGAGTTCACCTGTTTTTGTTACCTCGGCTAATGCAGGGATAGTGTGGTCAGCACTATGCCCAGCCGCTTTTTCTTTCTTTACAAACATGAGTTAAGTACAATACAGAGCTGGGTAATATTAGAAAACCCCTCTGTGATATGCACAGCGTAGTTGTCGCTGTGAGTCAGTTACAGCCGTTGTTCTATAAATAGCAACTATTGATCTCCTGGTCTGGGTTATTTCAATTGAAAGCTCCCACACAGCTGTTTGGGGGCTTTGTGTTGTGGGAAAATTAAAAAAACCTGTGCTGTTTCATTCTCTTTCAGTGTTATTTATGTTTTTCTGTTTTCTTTTCTTATAAGTGTCTTTTGTTAACTGGCTTTTTTTTTTACATTTGTTGTTTAATCCATGTTAGTTATACATCTCCTGCGTCATATATCTTTCTTACTCGCAAAATGTTTTTTATTGAGTAAACTCATATGACCTCTTAGTTTGATAGCTTACCTGTACAAGTATTTGCATAATTTCTCCTTATTATAGGTATATATGTATATCCTTTATTCATGTCTACATTTACATTTCTATTTTCACAAAATATTCTTCGTTTGCCAAAATTTACTTTAATCTATATCGTCTGTCTTTTTTTTTACCCATTCTTAAACTTTTTTTTGTAATCTTATTTTTTTAGTGTATGGTATTGTCTTTCTTCTTTAATGAACTTGTGCTGTATAATCTACACGTTTTTTTTTACCTCTACTGTGGCATTAATTTTTTTTACCTATGCAGCATAATCCACTTAAGTTTTTCTTGTGATGAATGATCTCCCTTTATTTCGCTCGTCTTGTATTACCTCCCTTTGTATATCCTTTGGATATAGTTTGTTTTGTAATGTACACAGCGTTGCTTGTGATATTCTCGCACATTGTATTAGCATTGTACAATACTGTATATCGTTGTAACAAGAGGCATAGCGACCCTTCCCGGCGCCCGAGGACAAACTTTCGATTTACACCCCCCTTGAACTTTCGATTTACACCCCCCCCCCCTCAAACTTTGAATTTGTTTTTCCAACCCATTTTGGCACCCCCCATAGGACGGCGCCCAGGGACATATGCCCCCCCTCGCTACGCCTCTGATTGTAACATTTCGTTTTCCAAATGGATAAAAATATAATCATCATCTAATCTTTTTCACGTCTCTTGCGATGTGTATCTTCTGCGGCTAAGCTATCCGATATCATTACTCAATCTTTATATTCACATATTCACGACATATTACTACATTTCATTTCATCAATTTATATATATATATATATATATATATATATATATATATATATATATATATATATATATATATATATACATATATATAAATATACTTCCTGGTAATTAAGTTTACTGTGTAAACACGTACCTTATATCATCACACAGCTTTAACACCTGCTTTTAAAACATTCCCATCTTGCCCCAACAGATGATGACCTTGCTTCTGATCACCTTGACCTTGGCCACAGTGTCCGGCAACCCGACCTGGTACTTCTCCAGCCCGCCGGCCACCAGACACGACAAGGAGCCAGATGTCCGGAGCTACAGCCTGGACTACGCCGGCTTCAACGCGTGAGTACCTCTCTGTGTCAGTTTGAGAACCTCTGCTGTGTAAATCAATTGGCCCATGTTTTATAGCATCTTAAATAATTAAGAAGTCAACAACGCGGTACAGATGTTTTTAAAAATACAAACAATAAAACATTATGTTATGTAGGGGGTCATCCATAAATGACGTTACGCTTTTTTGACGAATTTTACCTCCCCCCTCCCCTCCGTCACACGTCGTCACAAAAAGCCACCCCCCCCCCTAAAATGACGTCACACCTCATCCTTCAACCCCCCTCAAAATTGCAGTTGAATTTTTCTTTAAATATCGATATTTTTCTAAAATCTTCTCTGAACTTTGTCAACATAGAGTATTTTAATAAATTCCTATTACAGTTTATTAAAACAGTTTTCTAAAACGCGAAATAACGTCTAAAATTCGTTTTCTAACATTGCTTTTTTATAATGCAGAAGTGTGACGTAGCAACATCTGAACCCCCCCCCCCCTCCCCCTCATCACACACCGTCACAAAATTACGGACCCCCCCCCCTCCCCTTACGAGTGTGACGTCATTTATGGACGACCCCATATTGTTGCTTATCTTTTTACTAGGCATGCTGCCCAGCTTCGCTTAGGCTTTCGAAAACATTGAGAATTTGCATGCTTAATTAATTCGCCCGAGGGTCGGTCTACGACCTCAAGAGTTATGAAGAGGTTCCTCCGTGGACATTTTTTTTCGATTTATAGCTCATATAAGGTACCGGTCAGTCGAGGTCAGTTTTGACCCCCTCATCGTAGACTTTTCGGCCAACCGGCCCCCGTGTTCTGTCGCCCCAAGGCAAGATCCTGCCAAATTTGAAGCGCCTGCGGCGCCGGGAAGTGCCCTATCGGACACCCGACAATCTAGATCTAGATTCCTAAAAGAATTTTTTTTTTAAGTTTAGCCCGAGCATAATAAAAAAAAATACCTTAACCAAGTTGACTTGGTGTGTCTCGAACCCGCACCACCTGCGTGGTTTATAGTACACTAACATCTCCGCTATTTAGGCACCTTATAAAATACGGAGAATGAAACACGTATTTTAAAATCTTAACTTACGCGAATATGCCTATTCTTTCAAATTAAATTTTTTATCCCTAATTAGCCAGTTCCAAACAAAGATTTTGTATAAAATAAATAAGTCTTGAAATAGTTTAGTCCTAATATAGAAATTTATTTTTGGAATTGATTTTAGAGAAGTTAGAGTCTAAATCTAGATCTTAGCGTCTACGTCTAGATCTAGTTATTGCGTAGATTTAGAATTAGATTTAGTCTAGATCTAGAATCTCTAGATCTAGAATCCAAATACATAAAATAAATTTTATGAGTTTAGGCCGGAAAAATTGTATTGTATACATTTCATAGTGTACGTAGATCTAAATCAGATTTGAATGAAATAGTTCATTTCTTTTTATTCAAAACACGGCAGATGACGTCATTAGTTAATGTATAAGCAATAGTGACGTCACAGTTTTATGCGTTCTTTTTCACATTTATTAATGCTTTTCCGGTTGCATAAATAATACTGTTTCTCTACATTCGAATACGCCTTTAATTTTTATTTTTCTTCTTTAACTAAAATTGTGGTTATACATTTAAAACATCTAACATATTATTTTCAACAAAAGTCCGTATAAAGTTCTCCATATATCGCTGCCGTTTCTGACGTGATGTCCGGCGAAAATTTTTTGCGGACAGACAGAGAGAGAGAGAGAGAGAAGAGCGCACATGGCGTTTTATATATTAGGATAAGGGTTGTGTAGGGGATAATAATAAGTATACTTAATAGATAATATTTTGTTTGCCAAAATAACATAGCTAGATATAATAATTAGCGTCGTATATGAAAGTGTACAGTTATCGAGACCTGATAAAAGCTGTTATATTTTATCTCTTTACTCAGGATCGGCAACGCACTGCGTTACGAATCAGCAGGATACAAGATGAAATTTCGGGTCGCGCCTCCAAGAGACGCGCTGTACTTTTCTGAAGACTCGCTACCAGCAAACGACAAGCGGGTCAAATCATGCCTGCCCAAAACAGGTATAAACCAGCTCAAATGCAACAACTACACCGACCCAGCAAGCACCTGCACTGTGTATGTTGACCTACCTTGCAAGGCGAAACCAGGTCATTCTCGATGGGAGGCGAACTTGCTGATGGATGTCACAATCGTGAAAGAAAAAATGTTGACAGTGAGAGACTGCACTGTTATGTGCTTGGATATAGGGTACTTCGACGATGATGTGTATCAAGGAGGGAATGGGATCTCCTACGGCGGTACGGGGTGGATTGTTGCCTTCTTCGTGCTGGGCGCCTTGGTGGTGTTGCTCGGAGGGGTGTATGTGTGGTGGAGGTGGTCGGGGAAGCAGGAGTTTGACTATCGGGAGTTTGAGAGTATGAGACCCAAGCCAGAAAAGCCAAGTAAACCTCTGCAGAAAGAATATTCGATTTCGAAATCCACAAGAATGGCGAGTTTTTAAAACCATCAACTTAATTCCATCCAACATAGTTTTAATTGGCGAATGTAATTATAGATCTTCAAGCTTAAATTATGTATATTTCTAGATAATCTCACTGCTTAAAAGCATTGTATTTGGTCTATAAAATGTAATGGTCTTAACATGCATTACCTTGTTTCTTAGTTTATTTACATAAAATTACACATTGCACATGTTACGATGAAAGCCCAAAGTCGGCTTAAGTACACATTTGCCGGCAAGTGCGCGCATTTGCCTAAATTCGAAACTTTACTTGATTTCGGCCTTTGGCCGGCCAGTTCTCGTTTTGCCATTCTTCATTTCTTGTTCCATATTCTCGAGATTGTCCTCAGCAACTAAATTATCGAGAGCTTCTCCTTGCAGATTTGAAGTGTCCCAGTTTTGCTTTGCGTCAAAATAAGGCTTCGTAAAGCGATTGTTGTATTCCTTGATGAAAAGAACGGTTTTCATAAATTAAATGAGTTAGAGACTCAGCCCAATGAGCTGTTTCCTTTGTCTGCATCCATGTCATCATCATTATTTGAACATCTTGGTTGGCACGCTCGACTGAACCTTGGTTTTGACTATGGTTTTCCGTGAACTAGTTTAATTAGACGACCAATGCCTTTTTTACTTTCTTGTATAGAGAAAGTCTTGTAATCGTCCAAAAAAAATCGAGATTTTTACAAATCTCGACGTTTTACACCTCACTGATACTGAAAAACATAATTTTGCAATCTTGTCCGTGTCTGTGTGTCTGTCTGTCTGTGTGTAAACACGATAACTTGAGTACCGTTACAGCTAGGTTGTTGAAATTTCATATATAAGTATTTTATCAAAATCGTAGATCATGATCAACTTTTGAGCGATTTCCGAGAACCGGAATAGGTACTTTTTCTACTTTGAATTTTTCAAAAGCCTATAACTTGAGTACTATTTCAGATAGATAAATGAAATTTCACAAGTAAGTAAAAGATCTAATTCTCTACTATCTGTCAAATGTTTAGTAATTTCCGTTGAACGGAAGTACTAATTTACGCTATTTTCGATTTCTCAAAAACGAATGTAAATTTATAAAGTACTAATAATATTGCACACTATTATGCACATTTTGTTTTGGCGTTCGCTTGGTGCGCAATTCTTTTTTCTATGAGATTCTATTCTATTTTTAAAACTTTATGTAATTAAAAATCATGTCTATATTTCAAGTTATATAAGAATATTCGAGAAAGTTTAGGGGAGATCACTCCCGGTTTATTGTTCAAGTACTTCCTCTGAATGGTAATCAAGTTATCGTGTTTACAGACCAGAGGCGTAGCAAGGGAGGGGGGGGGGGTGCAAATCGAATGTTTGAGAGGGGGGGGAGTGCAAATTGAAAGTTTGTCCTCGGGCGCCGGGAAGGGTCGACACGCCTCTGTTACAGACACACAGCTATACTGACAAAACTGAGTTTTTTCGACTCAAACAAAATGTTCGGTTTTTAATTGGGGAAATGTTCTAGTGCATCTGAAACGATAACTAAGAGGAGACGATATAATGTCTTTGAGTTAACGGATTTGTCTCTGCCTCAAAATATTTGTATGACGCTTGTGTGATCACATTTTCTGTATCAAATATATCTGACAAGTACTAATGTGCAATTCATTTCATTACTATTCAATAGAATTTTCATTAAAATTAGCCATTTACATCCCATTATCATTTCAAAGGGACGGTATTTATTACTTTCCCCAAAGGTAGTTCAAAATGTAAAGGATTTAAAAAAAAATGTATTCTTTTTGTTATTGTAATAAAATAAACACTTTCATATTTATGTGATTTTTTTTGTCTCATTATTGTACATCAAAGTATGACATTTATTACTTAACAGTAGTTTACAAATGAAACTGTAAAGTACAAGTTGTGTAATTATGCGATAATCATAATTGTGGTTTAAGAAGTAAAGCTATGTTTTAGGCACACAAAAAAAGTTATACTCAACAGTATATTTTTAGACTATAAAATGTTTCTAGAAGGTATATGTTGTCCAAATAATAAGCATATCACCCTATTGACAGAAGAGCCTGCAGATACATAAGTCGTTGCTTCTGCTACCTTTTATAAAATGCATCATTGTAAAGTTGTTCAGGACATTGAAAAAGGAACGTCAATATTCGTTATATTAAAACAAACATCCAGCTCACCCTCTATTTTCATAGGGTAACTCTATGCAGAGTACGGCGGATAAGACCCGTCTTTAACCCATGATTCTCATTCTTGATAAAAAAAAAATCTCCCAGCGCGACATGTAGGCCACCTAGTCCCCGAGTCCTGATCAAACCTTGCCTCTAACGTACCAGAGTCTAATGAAAGGTGATCATAGTATAAAATAAAAGATCTTTTTTTTTCCGCCTCAGACTTTATTTACAGCGTCAGTTCGCCTTGCATGATCGCTTTAGTATTAGTTTTCATCATTGGCTTGTGAGGACTGATGCAGATTTACAATAGCCATACTTCTTTTTTACATGTAGCTACTTTCATTTATTTCATTGTTTACTTACACATAGATCTAATACAAAACGACTGTTTTATTTACTGATGACAATATATTTTTTTTTTTTGGCGTTTAATAGATTTCTTTACTTACTGTCTACCCTGCTCGCGCAGGGAGGCAGTAAGAGAAGGTTGCATGAAAATATACATGAAATATTAAAATAGTTCAATACATGGCATTGCATTCAATTATACATAAGCGTTTACAAAACGTCTAAGATACCTATTTTTTCTTATGGTGTACACTTGTATGTGCCTTCATGCTCTCTAGTGGGAGGGATAAGTTACAATCTCTACAGTCATACATCGTTTCTTCTTGATGGTTTTCTGCATAGTGTGTGCGTATGTCTTGGTAGTACCCTTTGTCTGCACAAAGATCACACTGTAAGTATCTGTAGTGGATACTTCGTTCGTGCTTTTCTCTTTCCCGGGGTGATTTACATTGTTCTAAGCAGAACCTGCAGTGATTGAAGTCATGAATGAATTTTTTACTTTTTATTTTTTTCTTTTCTTCTGTAGGACTATCTTCCTTCTTCCTTTTGAAAGTTGTAGTAATGTCCATATCTGAGAACGATAGCAGAGTGTTCGTTTTTAGGGCTGTTGATGCAGATGGCTTACTGATGACAATATAGATAGATCTAAATGGTTTACCAGACGATGGAAAATAGTTATAACAAACTTAATATTTTGTTAAAATAATACTATATTCAATTCATTTACAGGTTTTCTTTCATGAACCGTATGTTTGTATTATAATGCGCATTGCATTTACAATAAAAGTTACTTTGGTTTCTTTGTATCTTAAATAAAATTCAAAGAAATTGTCAGATTATTCAATTATTAGTCAAATATATAGCCGATTTCCACTTAGATGTACTACATTCAGTGGCTTTTTAATAAGTTACTTCCCATTACGTCTTGAACTGGTCAAGAAAAACAACTCATTACTAATTCCAAAATTCTTAAAAAAATATAATATAATTTAATTGTAATAAAATTACTAATAATATGTGTTATTTTTTTAAAGTAATAAATTTGATACTAAATTGTTTATAATGAAATAAAGTGTTTATTTATACATAATAGATATTACAATAAATACTTAACAATAATCTAAAACTAAAACTGTTAGCTATTTTAATTCCTAGCAGGTAAATATTTGAAAACTCCAAATAGCTATTCAATGCGCGAGTTTCACTACAGCGTGAAACTGAAGTTGATTTAAATGATTTTCAGCTCTACTTAAAACCCCAAATTCCACCATCTCCCCCCCCTCCCCGTCCCCTCAGCCCACCACGCTGAGGGAAAAAAATCACTTGAATCATCATTTAATTACACATATGCATTTTCAATTTCAGGTTGGTTATTTATTTATTTATTTAATTTTTTTATATTTAGACGTTTTGTATTAGATCTATGTATAAGTGAACCATCTTAAATGAATGAAAGTAGGCTACAAGTAAGAAAGAAATATTACTATTGTAAATCTGTGTCAGTCCTCACAAGCCGGTGATGAAAACTGTAATACTAAAGCGAACACACACAACTGACGCTGTAAATTACATGTCTGAGGCAAAAAAAAAAAAAAAAAAAAAAATTAGATGACAATATTTTACAAACTATTGAAAAGGAACTTAAAAAAACAGCTGCTTGCTTCAAAGTAACGTTCAAATTAAAGTTTCGTATCTAGCATCACAGTAGTGTTAATAATTATTTTTTTTTTGTTTAATTAAATCGAATTACCAAATCAGATTACATGCACACAAAAAAAGCATCGACCAGTTTTTAAATTTAGACGTAATATTGTTTGTTACAACTCAATGTACTGCATTGTTAAAGAATAATCTTTTTCTAATCAATTCATTTGAATTATGCAGGAACTTTCCATTACAATTTCAAAGCGGCCAGAGGATACTACTTATTACTGTTTCCAAAAGTCATTTTAAGTATAAAGAATCTCAATGGTAATTAATAATATGTAGTATTTTTATTGCATTAAATTGACTAGTAAAGTTAATATGACTCTTACAATAAAACCTCATCAAGAACAATGAAAACGCGATCACACCGTAGTCTACATAGGACATTGGCCAGGACATGAGGGCCAATGTACAAAATACGCTGTTACTGCGAAGCGATTCGGGTTTTGGCCAAGAGAGGCAGCCAATGCCAGTAGCGTAGCGAGGGGGGGGGGGGGGGGGGGGCGGGGGGGGGACATATGTCCCCGGGCGCCGACCTTAGGGGGCGCCAAAATGGGTTGGAAAAATAAATTGAAATGTTGAGGGGGGTGCAAATCGAAAGTTTGAGGGGGGGGGGGTGCAAATCGAAATCTCGAGGGGGGGGGGGTGCAAATCGAAAGTTTGAGGGGGGGGGGGTGCAAATCGAAATCTCGAGGGGGGGGGGGTGCAAATCGAAAAGTTTGTCCCCGGGCGCCGGGAAGGGTCGCTACGCCTCTGGCCAATGCTCACATTGGCCGCTCATCGGGCTTTGACCGTAACATACATATTGCTCATTTTATTCTTACACATTAAAATAAAAAAAAAGGATTTATAAGAAGAGCTGGTTATACTTATCACAAACAGGAAACATATTTTTCTTTTATAGTTGCTGTACCGATTAATCATAAATATTTTCCTTAGGTAAAAAACGATATTTTTTAATAAATTCGGAAAACCTCAGTCATCCTATCATAATAATAATACACCTCTTTGATCTATCATTACCCTCCTCGGTACTAAACACAAACATTTACTTCCATACATATATATATATATATATATGTATATATATATATATATATATACATATATATATATATATATATATATATATATATATATATATATATATATATATATATATATATATATATATACATATATATATATATGTATATATATATATATAATAAGAATGCAACCTGATCAACTTGTCATCTGACGAAATGTGTCAAACAACAAATATATCTAACGATTATGGTACTCATGTCTCGTTACGTATAGATTCAAGAGTATGTAATTGTGTTATTGAACCATGCAGTCATCGAAAATTAAAAGTGACTACACGCCTTCGGACCTTACGGTCTTTGTATAGGTCAAGTAGAGTTCAGCTGATTGTGTAACCGCTGCATGTAAAGGGTCTTAACATCTCTTGTATAGCCTCTTTATAATTTGTTAAAACATAATTTCATTTCAAACTGTTAATCACGTCCAAGAGTTCAAAATACACACATACAATTGTAACTGTATTGTATATTCCATATTTTTAAATAAGAAAATAATGTTGATACTTGTTTTTTTATGTTAGATTCATTTTTGTAATAGGGTAGCTTTTTAGCGTAGATAATGTTATTGTACTGTCAAATCTTTCTCTCCCCTCCCCCCTCCCCTTACACACAGACCCATTAAACCTTCAGGTAATTGTCTAATCACGTCACGTAATGAAGTAAATAAAAAAAATGCTGAACGTTAAACAGCTATACGCACTGCTGGTACAGTGAGAATTCCAAGTTGACTGGAAGAAAGCTTGACGTGTGACGGTTCACGTAGCAGTGATCGTTAGGTTCCCACTTATGTTGTGGGTCTTGGTGGCCTAGGGCTGGGTGGGTGACTGTTTATGTAGCAGTGATCTTTAGGTTCCCACTTATGTTGTGGGTCCTGCTAGTTGGACATTTCAGGGCTGGGTGGTGAAGGTAAACGTAGTAGCGATCGTTAGGTTCCCACTTATGTTGTGGGTCTTGGTGGTCAAGGGCTGGGTGGGTGCCCGTTTATGTAGCAGTGATCGTTAGGTTCCCACTTATGTTGTGGGTCTTGGTGTTCTAGGGCTGGGTGGGTGCCCATTTATGTAGCAGCGATCGTTAGGTTCCCACTTATGTTGTGGGTCTTGGTGGTCTAGGGCTGGGTGGGTGCCCGTTTATGTAGCAGTGATCGTTAGGTTCCCACTTATGTTGTGGGTCTTGGTGTTCTAGGGATGGGTGGGTGCCCGTTTATGTAGCAGTGATCGTTAGGTTCCCACTTATGTTGTGGGTCTTGGTGGTCTAGGGCTGGGAGGGTGCCCGTTTATGTAGCAGTGATCGTTAGGTTCCCACTTATGTTGTGGGTCTTGGTGGTCTAGGGCTGGGTGGGTAACCCTTTATGTAGCAGTGATCGTTAGGTTCCCACTTATGTTGTGGGTCTCGCTGGTCAAGGACTGGGTGGGTGCCCATTTATGTAGCAGTGATCGTTAGGTTCCCACTTATGTTGTGGGTCTTGGTGGTCTAGGGCTGGGAGGGTGCCCGTTTATGTAGCAGTGATCGTTAGGTTCCCACTTATGTTGTGGGTCTTGGTGGTCTAGGGCTGGGTGGGTAACCCTTTATGTAGCAGTGATCGTTAGGTTCCCACTTATGTTGTGGGTCTCGCTGGTCAAGGACTGGGTGGGTGCCCATTTATGTAGCAGTGATCGTTAGGTTCCCTCTTATGTTGTGGGTCTTGCTAGTTGGATATTCCAGGGCTGGGTGGGTGAATGGTTTATATATAATGATTGGCGGGTTTGATATTCACTTAACAGCGCTGTTCACTTAGTTAGGTTAACTGGTTGACCTTACACGTAGTGGGTTGGCCACAAAAGCTACTTGGAGGTCGTTTAGTTAATGTGCAGGTTATCTAATGGTAGGGCTAACTAGGGGGTGGGGGTGAAGGGAGGGGTCGTTAGGGCGGCTAGCTTGGTGGACCTTCTCTTCGTGCGCTGGCCATCAAACTGTATGGCTAGCTTGGTGGACCTTCTCTTCGTGCGCTGGCCATCAAACTGTATGGCTAGCTTGGTGGACCTTCTATTCGTGCGCTGGCCATCAATCTGTAGGGCTAGCTGGATGGCCCTTCTATTAGTGGGCTGGCCATCAAACTGTAGGGCTAGCTAGGTGGCCCTTCAATTAGTGCGATGGCCTTCCAAACTGTAGGGCTAGCTGGGTGGCCGTTCACCCAGTAAGGATGGCAGGTGGCCTTTTTAACAGCAGTGTTTTTTTATATATAGACAAAGAACTATTGGACTGACTGTGTGAAAGTTGGACTAGATGGTCATTCACTAAGTTGGCTGTCCAAAAACAGTAGGGCTAGACGGCTGGGCTTTCGCTTATTGTGCTGGTCAAAGAACATTCGGGTTCACCGAATAAAATGACCAGAGGACCGATCAGTGGTAGTAGTCGGGTGATAATACCCTGTGCGATAGACAAAAAATAAAATATAGTTTTACTATTCAAAGAAATTAATTCCGTTTTAATTTTTCCAAAATTTCGCTACGATTATATACGTTTTTCTGTATTTTATAATCCACAAACCACCTCAAATCGTATTGTTGATGTTTTCTCAATAGCAGCATTGCTAGTCTAACTTACATAAGAGATCAAAATTTAATTTACACAGAAAAAAACAACAACAGTACAACCATTGCATTCATTCCGCTATGTCACGGCGACCTAAGACAAGACGCTCCAGATTAGGAATAACAAATTAATTGTTTTCTTTCTTTTTTTACCTCTCCAATGTCAAAGTGAAATTCGAACTGTTCACCCAAACAATAAACGTCACTGCATATTTTTGTTTACCTGTCTGACTGACTAAGATATGGGTAGCAGTATGTTCCTGTGCTAGCTTTATAACACAGATGTTGATTAACCTGATTCATAGTGCGTGTGTTAAGCTTAGTGCATCGTTAATGTTAGCCCAGTTTGGTGTTTGGAATTGAAACAAACTGTTTTTAAGTTCACCAAAGCAACTGAAGATGGTAAGTGTAAATAAAACAAATGTACATTTAAAAAATACCAGTAAGTTGTTTTAAAGAAAAATAAATTGTACTTACAATAAAAAATGATAATACTATCTGCTAAACTAAAAATTATTTAGAAACGTTCGAAGAATTTAAATATTGTGAACATTTTCAATCAAATTTGCACTTATTTTAAATGTAAAAAAAAACAAACAACTACTTTATCGTTATTAACCAATTGTTTGTGTTTTTAAAAAAAGTAAAAAAAAAAAAAAAAAAAAAAATCCATTCGCACATTAAATGAAGGACAAAAAGCCACATGCATGTGATTTCTGGAGGAGTTCTTTTTATACAGGGAGGGGGATGGAGTGGGCAGTTATTGGAACAATATTCTCTAGTTTAGTTACTGTAAATATTAAGAGGCACTCACACATAAACAACATAGATCACCATTGACCAGTTTTCCAAATTATCAATCAACCTATACACATCTGATATCACCAGATAAAGAATAAAAAAAGTAAAATTATTATTTTGATCCTGTCAATCCCTATGGAAGATAAAGTAGATTTCACATGTATCTCTACATCGGCATAATATGCAGAGATTGTGTTGTAATCCCAGCCGCCATTACTTTCACTAAAGTGAGCCTGGTACCCATCAGAGATGGGTGGACTCTGATACAATCTGTTGAATCAAGTTGGAGATGCGAACTTTTTGGTAATCAGTCGAGTGACCTACGACTCGACCACGTAGTCCTATGGGTACAAAAAGAACACCTTATATCAGGTGTCAACATAGATCCAACTTTGTCTGATATCGCAACCAACACAACACCTACTTGTGTTCCATGCCACCCTTCATCACCATCACCAATCAACAACATATCCACCACAAACCTGCCTCCACCTTGCAGATGACGACCCTGCCACTGCTCACCTTGACCTTGGCCGCAGTGTCCGGTGACCCGACCTGGACCTTCACCAGCCCTCCGGCCACCAAACACGACACGGAACCGGAAGTCCGGAGCTACAAGCTGGACAACCCTGGATACAACGCGTGAGTACATCTCCACTAAATCTGATCATCGCCGTGAGTAAATAAAGTTATAGCTGGTCGGTTGGAGCTTCAATACGAAATTAACTGACAGGGCAGGCATATAAAGTGAGGAAATAAAGTTATAACTGGTCGGTTGGAACTTCAATACGAAATTAACTGACAGAGCAGGCATATAAAGTGAGGAAATAAAGTTATAACTGGTCGGTTGGAGCTTCAATACGAAATTAACTGACAGGGCAGGCATATAAAGTGAGGAAATAAAGTTATAACTGGTCGGTTGGAGCTTCAATACGAAATTAACTGACAGGGCAGGCATATAAAGTGAGGAAATAAAGTTATAACTGGTCGGTTGGAGCTTCAATACGAAATTAACTGACAGGGCAGGCATATAAAGTGAGTAAATAAAGTTATAGCTAGTCGGCTAGAGCTTCAATACGAAATTAACTGACAGGACAGGCATATAAAGTTTTCAGTTCGGACCGGATAACTGGCACTAAAAGTATTAAAATAAATACTGTACTTTACTTAGTATAAACTAAGTATACCGTGGATTAGACTTCTTGTATATAATTAGAATCCTTTTGGAGGATTAAACAATGACCCAATTCATTCTCAGTACGACTTTAATGGACCACTGAATGAACACTACTGTTATTCTAGTATCCCTCATGTAAGGTTTATCTCATATGGATCCATGTTTCCCAAACACTTAATCCAAGTCTTGTATTACATTCGTACTTCACATAACAAGTTGTTTTCATTTAGAGACGGATGTTTTATTTTCACTGGCAGTGATTTGAATAGAATAGCATTAAAACAGGCGGTTGTATTTTCTGTATAGCTAGCTACAACAACGTAGTTATACGTCACGTTTAACATGTTTCTATTCATTGAATTTAAATAAATCCTTATTTTTTTTCTCCATTTCTAAATAACAACATAGCAGGTACTATAAATATATTTATTCAAAGTTAAATTTAGCGTTCGGAGTTTAAATGATTATTACAAGTTTTACAGTATTTCAATGATATAAATTTTTAAACTTCTCAATAAAACCCAATACAACACACATGAACTAATCAACTTGCTTGTCTTAGGATCATCACTGCACTGCGCTACGAATACTACAAGATAAAAGTTCGGCTCCTACCCCCGAAAAGGAAACTGAACTACACCGAAGATACACTTCAACCTTTTAAATGGATCATGCCTTGTGTACCCAAACCAGACCAAAACGAACTGACCTGTGTTAACTACACCGACCAAAACACAACATGCAACCTTTTTATTGACCTTCCTTGCAAGGCGAAACCAGGTCGTTCCAGATGGGAAGCGAACCTGCTGACAGACATCACAGTTAAGAAAGAAACTAACTTAAACGATACTTTATTTACAATAGATGACTGTCAGGTTGTGTGCTTGGATATAGGCTATTTCTATGAGGATGTGTATAGCGGTGGGAATGGAATTTCTTACGAGCTTACGGGGATTATAGCGGCAGGTGTTGTGATTGTCGCATCGTTGGTGATTTTTGGTTCGGTTTACATGTGTTGGAGACTGATATAAGGACTGTACCTTGTCTACAAGGTTATTTCTTTTGTGCATTTGTATTGAAGGAGTTTGAAAATATGATTCGAACAAGCCTATGCAGAAGAGTATTTTAATTTCTTATCATTTACCGTACCATATTTTCTTTCCGAATTAGTTTCCATCCATATAAGTAAAAGTGTATATGATAATTACATTCAATTTTGCTTTCATATACACATTCCTGAGTTTAAAGCAATTGATTATATTATCACTTTTTTATTCTTACACACTTTACATATATATATATATATATATATATATATATATATATATATATATATATATATATATATATATATATATATATATATATATATATATATATATATATATATAAACACAATTTATATTTAATAGTCATATGTGTTTACTGTGTTTCACTGTAACATGTCATTAAAGGTGGAATATTTATTTTCACACAAATAGAGCTCTCTTTAGTTTTTGTCATTCGCTATTTTGAAGACGATAGATATAATTACAAAAAAAAATCCTCCACCATAAACTAAATTAAGAACGCTGAAGAAGAAGAAAAAAAAAACAACTACATATTTTTTAGTGTCTATTTAAAAAAATTATCAACTTTTATGCAGAAAACGGAAGCTTTGGGTTTGGTATTAGTGTATGCACTTGTAGTGGTGTATGTGCTTGTAGTGGTGGTGTATGTGCTTTTGGTAAAGGTTTTTGTGGTTGTGCTTGTGGTGGTGGTGTATGTGCTTGTAGCGGTGGTGTATGTGAATGTAGCGGTGGTGTATGTGCTTTTGGTAAAGGTGTTTGTGGTTGTGGTTGTGGTGGCGGTGGGGGTTATGGTTGTGGTGTATGTGCTTGTGGTGGTGGTGTTTGTGCTTGTGGTGGTGGTGTATGTGGTTGTGGTTGTGGTTGTGATGTATGCGCTTGTGGTTGTGGTGGTGTATGTGCTGGTGGTTGTAGTTGTGCTGGTTTATGTGCTTGTGATGGTGGTGGTGGTGTATGTGCTTGTGGTTGTGGTGGTGTATGTGCTTGTGGTTGTGCTGGTATATGTGCTTGTGATGGTGGTGGTGGTGTATGTGCTTGTGGTGGTGGTGTATGTTGTTGTCTTTGTGGTGGGGGTTATGGTTGTAGTGTATGTGCTTGTGGTTGTGACCTACTTAGGTCTGGTAATGTTTATTTTTACATTTGTTACCTTACCATATATGGTCTGTGGTATAATCACTGGTTTTTTCCACTGTCTTAAGAAAGTCTTAGACTCAGTATTTTTCCATCATGAGATGATTGGTTGATTCGGACCAGGTGATACCCCAACCAATAGCCTTATGATTTGAAGGTGACCTACCATGTTGCCTAAGTCTATAAATAGACCGCGCACAGGTCTCTCGAGGCAGTTCTTTGACCAGACGTCTTTGAGAGAGAATAAGCCCTAAGTTGTTTAAGTAGCATATTCTTAGATTACTTGTGGTTAAGTAATACTATATGCTTATAGCAGTGATGTGTATACTGTGGTGATTTTTCTGAAGTGTTAAAAGCTGTGATAGTGTATCATATTATTTTTTCCCACGAATTATAAGTTGGGTTTTGTTCATTCTGTAAATCTATTTTATCCTGTTTAAATCTAGTGTTCTGCGAAGACTTTGTACACTCATTAAAAGTTATATGCAGATTAAATGTATTGTTGGCATCAGTCGTTTCTCTAGTGTTTCCCCTAGACATCAAGTACGAGTCCTAGTGAACTATTGTGTTAGCTTTCTTTTATTTAGGCTTGTCGTCATCTGTGTATAATCAGTTAAACGAATCCGGGAGCGTTCGCCAACTATCTGGCTGATAGATTGGAGCTCGTTACATGGTTGTGGTGGTGTATGTGTATGTGCTTGTGGTGGTGGTGTATGTGGTTGTGGTTGTGGTGGTGGTTGTGGTTGTGGTGTATGTGCTTGTGGTTGTGGTGGTGTATGTGCTTGTGGTTGTGGTGGTGTATGTGCTTGTGGTTGTGCTGGTGTATGTGCTTGTGATGGTGGTGGTAGTGTAAGTGCTTGTAGTGGTGGTGGTGGTGATGGTGTATGTGCTTGTGCTTGTGGTGTTGGTGGTGGTGGTGTATGTGCTAGTGGTGGTGGTGTATGTGCTTGTGGTGGTGATGTATGTGCTTGTGGTGGTGGTGGTGTATGTGCTTTTTGTTGTGGTGTTGGGTTATGTGCTTGTGGTGGTGGTGTATGTGCTTCTGGTTGTGGTGGTAATGGTTGTTGTGTCTTGTTGTTTAACTGTTGGTTGTGGTTTTATTGTTGTGGTGTTAATTGTTTTTGTTGGTGCTTGGTTTGTTTATGATCGTAGTGGATCTGTTGGTGGTTGTAGTTTTTATGGTTGTTGTGGAGGCGGTGGTATCTTAAATAGTTGTGGATGTTTGATTATAATGGTTATTGTGGTGCTTATATTAAGGTTAGTTTGGTGTTGGATGTTGCTATCGTAGCTGTTGTTATGTAAATGTTGATGTAAATGGTGAGGGTTTTGATGGTAATGAATTGGATTCTGGTAGTGGCTGGTTGGTTGGTGTTGTATGTGATTGTGATTGTGAATGTTGTGTAGTGATAGTAATTGTGATTATGGTGGTTATACTTTTGACGGTTTACATTGCGTTTGGCGGTTGTTGTTCAGCTTGTTGTTATAGAAGTAGATCTGGCGGCTATGTTGGCAGTTGTAGTTATGATGTTGGTTATTGTTGTGGTGAGGGGAGTCAAGGTGGGAATTAGGCCTGGAAGTAATCTGAACGAATCAATTTTCAAATCCAACACTAAGCTATATTAATTAAACATACTGTTCTTTACAAGCTGGTGTACTATCTATCTATATACTACTAAAAGTCAAGTTTGTTTACATGTTTGAATATTTATTTTTTTGTTTGTCTGATTTCTTACTGTAAGGAAACTGCTTTATATAGGGGGCTGTAAAATAGTATGTAGGTAGAGAATAATTTTTTATTGCAGACAGACTGTTAATCACACATTTATTTAAAGAAGTTAATTAATTTATTGATTTATTCATAGGTAGATTAACCACATTTGTTTTAAAGTTTTAGAACAATGGCTTAACTTTGGCTGAATAGTGATGTTTGATAACTCTTTTTTTTGTTTGTTTGTTTTTCTGATTTGTTATTGGGGACAATCTTCATTATGTGTAGAGCTGTAAAATGGTATTTTGGGTGGTAAATATTGTTCCTTCTTAAAAACACTGTTAATTACAAACTAATTTAAAGCCTTAAAGCCGTTAATTAATTTATTGATATATTCATGGGTAGATTAACCACATTATTATAAAAGTTTAAAACAATGACTTTAGTAATAGAAAATATATTTACTTTGTACAATAATGTTTTCATTTATTTTTCCTAAGGCCTACATGTGAATGATAAGGTTGACTATCAGGACCTCGCGGGGCACAGGGCAGGTGAAGTAGAGTTCACCTGCATGTTTGTCCTTAGCATATGAAGGGATAGTGTGGTCAGAGACATGTTCGTCTGGAATCGTTTTCTTAAACGATAAAAACATGTTGTCTGAGACACTGGGCAGGTGAAGTAGGGTTGAATAAGCCACCTGTGACGTCAGTATATGAAGGGATAGTCCGAAATCGTTGTTTTCGGTGTTTTTAAAAGATAAAAAACATATTTTTGATTGTGGGGTCTGTTTTTTGTGACGATAAGTGACATTGCAGTAGCGTAGCGGGGGGGGGGGGGGGGGGGGGGTGGGGGCAGGGGGTACATATGTTCCCGGGCGCCGACCTTAGGGGGCGCCAAAATGGGTTGAAAAAATAAATTGAAAGGTTGAGGGGGGTGCAAATCGAAAGTTTGAGGGGGGGGGGTGATGCACATCGAACGTTTGAGGGGGGTGCATATCGAAACGGATGACGGGTAGTCTAGTCTCTAATATGAATTCGGCTTGCCGGATTTTAAAATGTACACCAAGTAAACATAAATGACAACACCACTCCTTTAGATTGATACGAGCATGTAAATATCGCAATGACATATATAGTTGGATTATATATTTTTTAAAAATATTTCTAATATTAATTAACATTTTACGAGAGGGGATGGAGTTATGCTTTTACATGTTGCCGTAAGTATTGTTAAACTCACTTCGCTAAAATTTCGTGATAATCTATTAATTATTCCTTTAAAAAATATAATTTTAATTCCCATGCACTAAGAATGCTACCGTAGTCTCCATTCTTCTAAATACTATCAATAAAATAGCTAGTTGGCTCAATAAGAGGGAGATAATTTAGTTTAAACTATTTCAGTGTCACTAACCATTTCTTCTCTCCCCCCCTTCGCGTTGCTATAAATAGCAGTACAGGTAGACGGTACGAATGGTCTCATGAAGGAATGTTGTCCTCTCTTATCACCAAACCTGACAACCCTCTAAAACAAGGGTCTCCAAACTTTTCAGTCCGAGGGCCGCATTAACTATAAAATTTCAGTTCGGGGGCCAGTTTCTTCGTGATTTTTCTGAGCAAAGTTCCTCAGCCATCACCAACAAACGTTTTTTCCGTGGACAAAAAGATCTCCGCGGGCCGGATGAGAGGACCTCGCGGGCCGCATCTGGCCCGCGGGCCGTAGTTTGGAGACCCCTGCTCTAAAAGCTAAGTATGGGGTGCGTTCGGACTGTTGTTATCGCCTATATAAAGCAAGCCGCTTTAATATATATCCGGCTTTATTAAATACCTTCTTCAATAAAAAATATTTCATGAATACTGCAACAGTTTCACTGTATGACCATATAATAATTAATTAAACGTATGTAATTTAAAAAAAAATTATTATGACTAATTATAATAGTATTACAAAAAAAAAATTTGTTGCGAAGAATGACTGATTAAATACCACAATTAAATAGCAGTTCTGTTTCAAGTAATTTTTAAGCGACAAATTAGAAAAGCAAAGCGTCATCTTATTCAGCTTTTAAAATTAGTTAGTTTAAAAAATTTTTTTTAGCCAGATGGTTTTTATTTAAAAAGCT